CACCAGTGCCTCCTCATCAGTGTAGCCTACCAGTGCCCATCAATGTCACCTCATCAGTGCCACCTATCAGTGCTGCCTATCAGTGCAGCCTCATCAACGCACATCAGTGAAGGAGAAAAATTACCTGTTTGCAAAATTTTATAATACAAAGAAAAACTTTTTTTTCACATTTTTTGCAATTTTTTTGTTTATAGTGCAAAAAATAAAACATCCAGTGGCGATTAAAAACCAACAAAAGAAAGCTTTATGTGTGTGAAAAAAATGATAAAAATTTCATACGGGTACAATGTTGCATGACTGACCAATTGTCATTCAAAGTGTGAGAGCGTTGAAAGCTGAAAATTGGCCGGGGCAAGAAGGGGGTAAAAGTGCGAAGTAGGCAAGTGGTTAAATAGAATAAAAAAGAGAGGGGAAAAACATTAACTGGAACGCATCAAAAACACACCAGAATGAGTCAAAAATGCGCATGCAGAAACGCATCCAGAACGCATCTGGACTGCATTTCTATGGTGTGAACTGGCCCTGAAGGATATGGGAGAGGGACAGATGACTTTGGATTTCCTCTATGAGAGCCAGCACCAGTGTAAGGGACACTTCACAATAAATGTAATGCAGGCCATAGATGGGTCGAAAATCGGCCGAAAATAAAATCAGCCGATTTTCAGATCGTTAGTGGGCTAATTGTTCGGCCGTTTTTCGGTATTTTGGCAGATTATATTTATCGGTAAAGTTGGAAAAAAAAAAATCGGCCGATTTTCGCGGCAATGATGGGCAAATCGGCCGATCTTTTTACCGATAAAAAAAAAATCTGCGCATGAGCAGTGACCTGCAAGGAGGAGGAGGGGGGGGAGGGGAGGAGGAGGAGAGGAGGAGGAGGAGGAGAGAGGAGGAGGAGGAGGAGGAGGGAGGAGGAGGAGGAGGAGGAGGGGAGGAGGAGGAGGAGGAGGAAGTTAGAGGAGGGGGCAGGAGGGAGGAGGAGGAAGAAGAAGAAGAAGCAGAGGATGAAGAAGAAAGGAAGAAGAAGAAGAAGCAGAGGATGAAGAAGAAGCAGAGGATGAAGAAGAAGCAGAGGATGAAGCAGAGGATGATGAAGAAGAGGAAGAAGAAGAAGTGGAATTCCAGTCCGGCAAAAAAAGTGTCCCTGCAGAGAGCTCCGCTATTTGACAGTTCCTTGACATTTATAGCGGTTGCAACAATGTATCTATTTGTTTCCGAATAAAAACATCTGTATCCTAAATGGATACAAATACATTGTTGCAACCGCTATAAATGTCAAGGAACTGTCAAAGAAATAGCGGAGCTCTCTGCAGGGACACTTTTTGCCGGCTGTAGACGGGATAAAAATCGGCCGATTTTTTTTACCATTGCTGGTAACGTCGGCCCGCTTGAACGACCGATTTTTTGTTTTTTTAAAGAAAAATCGGCCGATTTTCGACCCATCTATGGCCTGCATAAGTAACGTCTCTTGTGCTGATTTTTTAAAAACTATTCATCTAAGCTTAGGCTTTAAGCAATGTGGGAAAATCCAACAGTGAAATGTGGGAATATTCGCAGGTACTGGCCAGAGTCCAGAGAGGTTGTCCACACAGTACAGCCACGGGACATCTTACGATGTCTTCCCTTGTGCGGAAATGCAGACACGGCAGTGAAGAGAGGTGCAGTTAAACTGCCGCGGCTCACGTGGCTTGCCCAGAGGGTGGTCTATTATCTAATAGCATTGCTATCTACTTAGATTGTTGTGTCTGTGTGCTTTCCTGACTGCCCTAAGAACACCACTGCAGTTATTTTATAATCAACCACTTTAATACTGGCCACTTTCACCCCCTTTCCTGTCCAGGCCAATTTTCAGTGCACTTTGAATAACAATTTATTTATTACAGGTAATTATATAGCGCTGTCAATTTACGCAGCGCTTTACATATTTATTGTACATTCACATCAGTCCCTAACCCTCAAGGGGTGTACAATCTAAGGTCCCTAACTCACATTCATACACATACTAGGCCAATTTAGACAGGATCCAATTAACCTACCAGCATGTCTTTGGAGTGTGGGAGGAAACCAGAGTACTTGGCGGAAACCCACGCAGGCACAAGGAGAACATGCAAACTTCAGGCAGGTGGTGCCATGGCTGGGATTCGAACCAACGACCCTAGTACTGTCAGGCGGAAGTGCTAACCATTTAGCCACTGTGCTGCCCAATTGCATGCAACACTGTACCCATATGACATTTTTTTATTTTGGTGGTATTTAATCACCACTGGGGTTTTTTAAAAAGGCTGTAAATTTAAAAAAAAAACACTTTTCTTAGTTTCTATGGTAAACTTTTCCAAATAGGTAATTTTTCTTCTTCACTGTGTGCTATGATGAGGCTGCACTGAAGATCAGTGCTCGGATTATAATCAGTGTAAACATGTCCTGTCAAGATTGGCAGCCACAGAGCGTGCCCAATGCACTCCCCAGGAGGCGTGCAGGGGGCAGGGTTCTAGGAAGACATCTATAAACGCCCTGTTGGAACTTGATGACCATGCTGTAGCCATCTTTCAGCTATGACGCGGTCAGAAAGTGGTAATATTGGGAGGGAAAATGGTATTATCATACAAGAGTGTGCCTAACGCAGCACTGGGCCAGAATACAGTCCCAAGAACAGTGGTTTGATAAGGAACAAGAATGGCAAACAACAGTTTCTGCCCATTTTAGTGGACCTCAATGCCATCTCAGAATCCAAATCCAAATGTAGAAATATTTACTAAAAAGGAGGACAAAAAGGAAAATACATCATATATTCCATCAACAACTGCACAAAAAGCAAATCCGTATCATACCCCTGCCCACAGTCTGTCAATAAGATCAATAGCATCACGATGGCATGACAATGTACTTCATAATCCAGAAAACTGATCACAAACTAAACTGAAGAACATTACATGCAGTTCGTGGCTAGCTGCAACTCTTTCATCAAACCAGACATGATTTTTTCAAAATGTTCTTTTTTCTTTACAGTCAAGTCAAAGCTGTAATAATATATAAATTTGGGCCAGCATCCAGTTAGCCACAAGTTTATACGCCATCGCATTATCTCGTGTGTCTGTGCCAATGTTTACCAAAATACATTAACCACTAGCCTACAGGGCACTTATACCCCCTTCCTGCCCAGGCCAATTTCTAGTGCTGTTGCACTTTGAATGACAATTGTGCAGTCATGCAACACTGTACCCATATGAGATTTTTATCATTTTTTTTGTGACAGATAGAGCTTTATTTTGGTTCTATTTAATAACCTCTGGGTTTTTTAATTTTCTTAAACCAAAAACCACTGAAAAGTTTGAAAAAAAAAAAAAACAAAACGTTTTTTCTTAGTTTTTTGTTATAAAATTTTTGTAAATAAGTGATTTTTCTCCTTCACTGATGTGCGCTAATGAGGCTGCAGTGATGGGCACTGATAGGCTGCACTGATGGACACTAATAGATGGCACTGATGGACACTAATAGGTGGCACTGGAAGGTGGCACTGATGGGCATTGACAGTCACTGATGGGCACTGAAAGGCAGCACTCATATATGGCACTGACAGGCAGCACTGATAGGCGGCACTGACTGGTGGCACTGAAAGGCAGCTCAGATGGGCACTGATATGTGGCATTGATGTGGCACTTATGGGCACTGAAATGTGGCACTGGCAGGTGGCATGGATGAGCACTGAGAGCTGGCACTGATGGACACTGCTGCTGGCGCGGCTGGGGCTACACAGATCATCAGGGCACACTGATCATCAGTGCTCATGTCCCCTCCGAGGAATGCCGATTACCGGCTCTCCTCTCCTCTGTCAGCGTGACAGCTTGTAGGGAGAGAATTGCCAATAACCGTCATTTCCCTGTTTACATGTGATCATGTGATTGGACACCGCTGATTACATGACCGAGCCGACATCTTCGGCTCTTTCCATTGATCGGTGATCCGCTGTGTCCGAGGGACACAGCGCACCGTCGATCACCACGCTGCGCGCTCCGGGAGCCGCGCATGTGCGGTTAGAATGGGAGGACGTCATATGATGTCCTCCCAGAAAGCGAGAACCGCCTTGCATCCGTCATTGTATTATATGGCGGGCAGGAGGTGGTTCAAGTGGAATGCAAGTCAAAACCCAATGAAACAAATCTACTCCCACCCCCAACTGTCAAATGAAGCTCCTCTGGTCAGTGTTTCAGCTGGTCCAGGGCACTTCTTTCTGGGTTTGCAGTGTTCAGCCACTTGAATGGCTGGGCTGCGATGACACCATTCCCGTGCATGCACATGGGAGTCACTTCATTATAGCACAGAGCGCAGCTGTAAATGTACTCTGAACTGTGCATGTGTGGCTCAATGTACATTACTGCTCACAGTAAGGGAGAAACATTTATGACAGAAGAGACAACTACGGTCTACAGCTATCATAAATAACTAAAACACAGTGTTATTATTTTCTTTGGAAAAGTAATTAGTATTGACTATTTTTGATTCTCTAGAAAGCATTCACTGCTACTAAACTGGTGATATTGCCTAGAAAAGGACATTTTTTTCATGTTAGTTCATGTTTACCTTGCAGCTAGCCTTCTACTTAATGCATTGATGTATTAACCACTAGTCTACAGGGCACTTATACCCCCTTCCTGCCCAGGCCAATTTCCAGCTTTCAGTGCTGTCACACTTTGAATGACAATTGCACAGTCATGCAACACTATACCCATATGAGATTTTTATAATTTTTTTTGTGACAGATAGAGCTTTATTTTGGTGGTATTTAATCACCTCTGGGATTTTTATTTTTTCCTTAAACAAACCAAAAACCACTGAAAATTAAAAAAAAAAAAAAAACACTTTTTTTTTAGTTTTTGTTATAAACTTCTGTAAATAAGTGATTTTTCTCCTTCACTGATGTGCGCTAATGAGGCTGCAGTGAGGGGCACTGATAGGCTACACTGATGGACACTGATGAGGAGGCACTGACGGGCACTGTTAGGCAGCACTGATGCACACTGATAGGCGGCACTGACTGGCAGCACTGATAGGTGGTGCACTAACTGGCAGCACTGATAGGTGGCACTAACTGGCAGCACTGATAGGTGGCACTAACTGGCAGCACTGATAGGTGGCACTGATATGTGGCATTGATGTGGCACTGGCAGGTGGCATGGATGAGCACTGACAGCTGGCACTGAAGGACACTGACAGGTGGCACTGCTGGGGCTACACAGATCATCAGGGCCCTGATGATCAGTGTACATATCCCCTCCAAAGAATGCCAATTACCGGCTCTACTCTCGAGCTGTCAGCGGCATTTCCCTATTTACATGAGATCAGCTGTGATTGGACACAGCTGATCACATGACCGAGCCGACATCTTCGGCTCTTTCCATCAATCGGTGATCCGCTGTGTCCAAGGCACACAGCGCACCACCGATTGCCATGCGCTCCCGGAGCCGCGCATGCGCTGTTAGAATGGGAGGACGTCATATGACGTCCTTCCAGAACGAGAGAACCGCCTTGCACCCATCATTGTACTATATGGCGGGCGGGAAGCGGTTAAACAAAAAAAAAAAAACCAAAAAAAAACAAACACACACACAAAACACGTTCTGCAAGCAGCCCCCCCCCCCCCCCTTACCTGATCACGATCTAGAGATGTACACGAGAGCATGGGCTCTCTCAGCACTCACTCTCCTCATTAGCTCATGCTGAGAGCCATGTCAATGATGCCAATAAGGAGGGGAGTGGGGGGCGGAGGCTGAGCTGCGCTCTGTGTGTCTTATGCACACACAGAGCCGGCTTGGAAGTGAGCACACACGAGTGCCCCCACAGCAAGTGACTTAAATTTTTGGAGTGCTGACATTCATTGTTTACTAATTATACATGATAGTAGAAATTATATGGTTTGGGGTTGCTTTGCCGCCCCTGGCAGCTTGATGTTGAGTTAACTATACATTCTGCATTATATCAAAGTGTGCTTGATGAAAATGTGAGGTCACCTGTCCAAAAGTGAATCGAAAATGAATGTCAACACTCTAATGATCTTTATAAATACCAAAACAGTGCTATGCTCCACTGTATGCAAAATGAACAAATAACATAAATAAAGTCTTCCAACAAATTATTCCAGTGTCCACACAAAGAAATCCGTGATTCACTATAATCATTGTAATGTTCACCTCTTGTGATATAATCAAACCAATACTTGTGCACCCTTACCAGTTTGACTCTCACCTTGTGTATATGACCAAACCGCTAAGTGAGGTCATATAAAGCATGTGTCCCTTTAATTGGACTATGATGAGATGGGATTACTGCCCAATGGGTCTGGGTCTCCTTCACTCCTCTAGTTATCCTTACAAAAACATGTATTTAGAATATGCCGTATTCCACTCATATGTGCATCAATATTATGCGCTTTGTACAAGGATCAATTTCTCCAGATTACCACTAGCGTTCCTGGCATGCACAACCAGCTAGTACCTTTCTCACTGCTGGCAGAGCGTCATGACATAAAAGCACCTCTCCTACGTGTTACGCCACCGGGTCACGTGGCTTCATCAGATTCCCCCTGATGAAGCTAGGAAATCCGGTCACGTAATGCATAGGGGAAGGGCTTTGATGTGACGACGCTCGGCATATTTTGTTCATATTTCATGTCTGAGGTTTACAATCACTTTAAATGATGATCTAATGTTGGCCTGTTAATATATGTTGTGTCAAAAATTTCCATTGGGTGTACTTATCTTTTAACATGATGGTAGGTATAAGGGGCAATCATAGTGTTCTGTCTTAAAGGAAACCTTTACAGAGTGAGAAATAGTTCTTAGGACTGGCACAATCCTGCACTAGCTGACAAACAAGTACTTTCACAATCATAAAGGGCTGCAGCTTGAAGAAGTGGAACTAAAGTCAATATTTGAGTTTACGTATGCTTTAATATCAAAGCTTATGACATGAACAAACTTACCACATGGAAACTAACATATGCAACCTATGAATAAGATGTAGGCAGGTGTAAGGACAGGTTGCATATACAAAATATTGCTCAAAAGTCCGCCAGTTACTGTATGATCTGTGAGCCACAATCACATAAGTGGTGGTAAAATATAAATACAAAGTACACAACAACATTAATAGTGCATTTGTTAGCTCTAAGCTTACTAAAAAGTATACAGCAGACAATGCAGGGTATGTATAAGCTGTATACTTTCTAATGTCTGGTACACACATCCAGCAGGCTATCACAAAAACAAAAAACCTCAGATTGTTGTACTAACCCAGTGATGTTAGCACAGGAATTCCTCCCACTGCGCCTTTGTGTTTCCCCCCCTTCCCTGCCAGAACACACTAATCAGCGCTTGCAGATATTGGCTGCGAGCACTGATCAGATGCTGGTTTTCAAGCATGTCCCTTTGACAAAAGCTTCAGAAGGACAGCTGCACACATGGTCCTAATGTTGGCTGGTACCTGCTGAAGTATTTTACTTTATTAGTCTAACAAAGAACACTTTTTTTTTTTTAAATCTCATTTTTTTTGTCATACACTGCTTGTGGCACATGTGCAGTGCACCCTCTGCCCACTCCCGCATCTTTAATATGCAGAAAATGTAATTGGTTGCTGCAACTATGAGATTTTAGCAGACACATTTGAGAAAGAAAGAAAGAAAGAAAGAAAGAAAGAAAGAAAGAAAGAAAGAAAGAAAGAAAGAAAGAAAAGAAAGAAAAAGAAAGAAAAAGAAAGAAAAAGAAAGAACTGATCTGGGAAAAAAGAAAGGAAAGAAAGAAAGGAAAGAAAGAAAGGAAAAAAGAAAGGAAAGAAAAAAAAAGAAAACAAAAAAAAAAAACAAAAAAAAAAAAAACAAAAAATACATGAGAAGATGGCAGCGGTAGAGAAAGCGAATGGGGACCTATAATTGCTGGAAGAGGGCAAACTTAAAATGACCACACGTTATGAGCTATTTGCACAATCTTCTTTAGATCAACCAACAAGTATTTAATGCATGCTTTTAAAAAATAAATAAAACCATACCAAGGGGTGTCCAACCACCTCTGGTTTCATTACGTGATCAATATTACATTGATTCAAAATGACCACATCAAATAGACCTAACATCCCTTCTGATCGATTCAGATATAATTTAGATTGAATTCAATCAAAATTAGTCAATCAGGTAGGGTGGAAAATTATTGATCTTGCTGCATTTATCAGCAGCATTGAGATGCTTTGTTTGTTGATTGGATTTCAATCAATTAATTAGATTATAGGATTGCATGAAAACAGAGATGCATAACTTGAGATCGGATCCTCTAACCATTGTTTGAAATCCACTTCCCTGTGTAAGTCACACTGATCAAATGGGTTGTTGAGTATAGATAAATTATTCTAATAGGGGGAGACTGAGCAGAAAATAAATCAATAATTTATCTAAGTTTGTACGGCCACCATTAGACTGATGTCAGATGGGTGATTCTACTGCTAAAGACAAATCACCAGCAGCAGGATCACTAAAGAGGCTGTTTGTGTGTCACTATGAAATCGCTCACTCTGTAGCCAGATGGAGTGACATCTCACTGCCTCAGCTACAGAAGTAGCCATTCCATAGGGGCAATCAAGGAGCCTCTTCGCGATCCTGCTGCTCAATTTGACAAGTGTCAATGGAAGGATGGCTGGCAGCAGAGTCACCTATCTGACATCAACCTAAAATACAACAGAACCCAATACATCTAATGTGCATGTTATTGCATGCAAAACAACAACAAATGTTAAATGCATTTGTTGTGGTATGAATAGGATCTCAAAATACTGGTGATGGTTACTGGCATGTACTATATATATATATATATATATATATATATATATATATATATATACATATATACATACACACACACACACACACACACACATACACACATATATATACACACACGGCTCGACAAATCCCAGGCACTAGATTCGCCATGACTAGATTCCTGGGCTTTTGTCAGCTGTCAGGCACTGGGATGCTGCTTCACCGATTCAGGAATTTGGAACCCCAGCTTATTCTAATTGGATAGCACTATCACATGGATGGTGCTGACCAATCAGAATCTGTCCATTCAGGAGAGAAAGCCACAGGAATTTAAAATCCCTAAAAGTGAAGTAGCATCCCGCTGCCTGACAGAGGGGGATTGCGGGACACCGGTACAGCAGGACTGGGGGGATGGGGTTCAGTGTAAGGTCACATTACATATTTTCTGCAAAGGTGAACTTACAGTTTCAATGTGTCATCCCAACCCACCCACATAGCCTTCTCTATCTTTCTGAGACAGTTCCGGGTACCAGGGCAGCTGATTTAAAAAAACTGTCTCCAAACTTTTTTAGCTGGCTCCCAGATCCAAAGCAAATTTGTCAAGATATATATAGATATACACATACACACACGGACAGATCAGCCATAACTTTGTGACCACCCACTGAACACAGAGTAGGTGTCCCTTTTTGCCACCAGAAGAAACCTGGCCTGTTGATACAAGGACTCCAGTAGACCTCTGAAGGTATGGTGTCATATCTAGCACCAAGCTGTCAGTAGCAGATGCTTTTAGTCCTGTAAGTTGTGAGGTGGAGCCTCCACAGATTGGACTTGTATTTCCAGCATATCCCACAGATGCTCAATTGGTTTGGAGAATCTGGAGGCCAAGTCCACATTTTGAACTTGTTATTGTGTTCCTCGTTCTATGCTTGAACCATTTTAGCAGTGTGGCAGGATGCATTATCCAGATGAACTATGCTACTGCCATCAGGGAAAACAATTTCCATTAAGGGGTTTACTTGGTCAACAATGTTTAGATAGGTAGGAAGTGTAACATCCACATGAATGGTGGCACCAAGGTTTCCCAGAAGAACATTGCTGAAAGCATCCTACGGTCTCTGTTGGCTTGCCTATTTCCATACTGCCTCCTTGTGCAATCTCTCCCCCAGGTAAGTGGCACACAAGTCCATGGCCATCCATATGACGTAAAAGAAAACATGATTCATCAGTCCAGGCCACCTTCTTCCATTGCTCCGTGATCTGGTTCTGATGTTCACGTGCCCCTTGTAGATGCTTTTGGCTGGGGGTCAACATGAGCACTTTGATCCTTGGAATGTGCTCTTTCTGCAGCAAAAGCTTTGGACGACATTTGACGATCCACAGTGTGCTGGCAAATACTCACAGATTTCTGAAATGAGACCAATTTCCAGCTGGTAGTTGGTGCATCACCTGTTGAGCCCATTTCCAGTAACGTGTGCGATGGGAACAATAGCATGGGCACCCTGGGTGTTGTAGGGGCACGCAGCAGCCCCATACACAGCAAACTCTGATCTTCGTTTTTTTGTGCTTTTAACGCATCAACTTCAGAGAC